TACAGATATTCGATTGGCTGAGTAGCGTCACGTGAGATGATTTACAACGCATGTATTTGTTGGTGTATTTCCTGGACTGCTGACTGAGTGCCGTAAAGGCTAGAAAAGCTGTGCAGGTTAAAATAGAAGTGTGCTGCCAAAATGTATAATGCTCAATTATCCATCAGTTATACGTCCGGGTCTGGATAGGACAGCGTCTGGGTCTGGATCCGGACCACGGTCCGCCTATTAGTTACCCCTGCTCTAGGCTATCATACACTACTGTTCTGTATGCTAGCACAGAGTGCTGAGTCCATGAACTACCAGGTACACAAGGATTTTATGTTACTTTTGACTTTTCTATTACTTACGTTTCAATCGCAAGTTTCCCAGACTGTTGAAATATTCCATTGAATTGAATGTCATTTTGTAAATGTTGTGTTTTTTTGTTAAAGCGCCACACTTTAGATTACTAACTGTCCCCTCCATCCTTCTGTGTGTCTTCTCTTAGAGGGCGAACCTGTCATTTTTGCCACCAACTCCCTCCAGAGGCGTAAAAAGGGGCTTGGCTTAACCGGACTGCGCACCAGCGGCTCAGGCTCCACCCACTCAAAGAGCAGACCGGGGCTCATGATTGGCCTGCCGCAGAACTTCCGGCAGATCTCATCCATCATTGACGTGGACATCTTACCCGAGACACACCGACGCGTGCGACTCCACAAGCACGGCACCCACAAGCCACTGGGCTTCTACATCCGTGACGGCGTGAGCGTGCGCGTGACACCACAGGGCGTGGAGAAGGTGTGATCAGCTATTTAATTTCATACATCTCTGGAAATATTACGTGATATTTTAATCTGGAGGATTAAACTTTTGAGGGCACTTCATTTTATTGCTCTAATGGGAGTAAAACCATAGACATTTTTGGGTTGTCTGTCTTGAATAATACCCTGACCCTAATGTCAACTTAATTACTGAACTTGTTAAAAAATATTTGGACCTGTCTGAGTGCGTCATAAATTTGATGTGGATGTCCAGATGTAACATACAATTTTCCTCTTCTGTCATCTTGTAGGTCCCTGGGGTGTTCATATCTCGTCTGGTACGCGGTGGGCTAGCAGAAAGCACAGGGCTGCTGGGAGTTAATGACGAGATCCTCGAGGTCAACGGCATCGATGTAGCAGGAAAATCGTTGGATCAGGTAAATTCAGTGTCCAAAATGAACCGTGTATGGAGATCTGCCAAGGATTTAAGAGGGTTTTTTTGTTGCTGTTATGAAAGGTTACCAAAAGCTGATATTTTATTGTGAAAGCAGTTCAGCATAGTATACAGTAATACAGTGCTTTTAATTCTGGGCTTTTCTCACAGGTTTTGTGTTGTATTATAGTAAATAAAGTCTCATTTCAGGTTACAGACATGATGGTGGCAAACAGTCACAATCTCATTGTGACTGTCAAGCCGGCTAACCAGAGGAACAACGTGGTGCATCGCGGGAGCAAAACCTCAATGGGCAACTCTGGTTCCGTGGGCTCAGCTGGATCCAACAACTCCGCCCTGTCACATGACTCACCAAGCCCCGCCTCCCAGAGCAACCCCATCACTGCGAGGTGAGACGTGGCCATGATCAAGGGCCTGCTTTTTGCACCAAAGTTACTGAGTCAAAAAACACTGTCTAACATTTTAACAAACCTTCCATCGTTCAGGACATGAAAGCGTAAACGTAACTGTGACCCTGTGCGTATTCTTTATGAACGCTTATGGTTATTAATATGCACTCTGCAAACTAGAGGCCAAGCTACTGCCTCTTAAATGTTTTATTCCAGCGTTCATTTGCGTTATAAATTGAGAGGTTTTTTTTAAAACTCAAATACCCATATTGTCCAAAGTCAAGCAGGGGGTGTTGCAGCAGAAGAACCCACAGACAATGAGCTTCAGCTCTGCAGTTCCCCTCGGATCTACGGAGTCTTTTAGCTCATTGTTTTGGTTTCTCACAACTTTGCTGTTCTGGGTTTGTCTCACTGTTTTCATCAACCTGGTCTCCAGCAGCAGCAGGCAGCTGTTTTCAGTTTAAAAGCTCAGATCAACCCACTGTACACTACCTGCTCAGCAGCAAACAGCAGACACACACAGGCTAGCAGGCAGTGGTGTATAAAGTAGCCAAAAGCCATACTTGAGTAAAAGTAAAGATACCTTACTGGAAAATGACTCCAGTAAAAGTCACCTATTAGAATACTACTTAAGTAAAAGTCTTAAAGTAGCTGATATTTATTGTACTTAAGTATCAAAAGTAGTTTTCTGATATTAAATGTACTTAAGTATTGAAAGTAAAAGTACAAGTAAATGCTGTTAATAAAAAAGCAAAGGGTCAGAATTTTGAGAATTATGAAGTTTATTCTTTTAAGTGCTGTGGCCACCAGGACCAAGGACATGGAGCTGTGTTGAAAATAATTGGGTTGGCTGTGATCCATCCAGGAGCAACAATGTTCAACATAACATATTGTACATAAGTATACTTTTGCATCTACTATGAACTTATCATCATAATTCTCCGTAAAGCAATATGACACTATGAAGGAGTTGTAACAGTGCGTTTATAAGTATGCTCATTCCGACTAGAGGATGTAGAGGGCAAATGCATAATATTGTGTTCAGCAACAAATATCCACTTGATGCATCAGGTCAGTGTTGTGAGAAAGGACACCTGCCTTGTAAACTCCTATGGGCCTGAATTGAACACAATAGGCAAAGGTTTTGCTCAAGCTGAATCTGCAATTGGGCGACTGCTACCATCATAACTCCATCTGATCATCCACAAAATGACTCAAATATCAAAACATGATCAATACTAAAGCAGCACCGAAAGTAACAACCCAGTCATTACTTGAAACTGAAAAATGTCCTGTTCATCTTCAAAAAAAGTTGGTTTTCAAAATTGCGAGAATTCCGTCTCGCTCTTCTTGGGCTGAAGACTAGTCCTGCGATGCTAAATAGCCTTTCACAGGCCGCTGAGGCAGGTAGAGGTGTGTTCAGCTTCACAGTTTGCGCACAGCTGGGAAGGATTTCCCTAATGCTGCGCTCTCGCGGCTCCTGTCAATCCTATGGTGTGGTGGCTAGCTAACGTTATGTTGGCTAACATTAAGTTAGCTAACGTTAGCCAACTAGTGCTGCAATGATTATAGCTAAGATAACTCAAATCAACAAAATCTCACAACTGTCAACACTTCCTCAGCTCACTAACTCGCTAGCGATCCACGGGTGTTGGTCTTCATCACCACCATCGTTTGTTGCGGGAGTAGCAGGTGCTTCCATTTCTGCTTCCATCATGAAATTAGTCATCGTAGAGTGGAATTCTGCTCATGTAGTCGCCCGCTAGCTGTAGCATATAGCATCCTGGGCATCACTGGGAATCAAAACACCGCGGCTTTGAGAGCACTTGTTTGCAATTGCGCATTAACGTGATTAACCAATGATTTAACTTGCAAGCTAGGACCACTGATTCGCCAAACCTGCTTGCTTGCAGTCTCTGTTCCACCACAGTCCCCGACGCTGGTCTCATGATTCATTTTGTTTCTAAAGATAGATTTGATTTTGTAGCGAGTAACGAAGGTTTCAGGGGAAATGTATCGGAGTAAAAGTATCAGTTTTCTTTGCAAAATGTAGTAAAACTGAAAGTCAACTGAAATATAAATAGTAAAGTAAAGTACAGATATCCAAAAAAATGACTTAAGTACAGTAACGAAGTATTTCTACTTCGTTACTATACACCACTGCTAGCAGGTGACCATAGTGGAGCATTTAGCAGCTAAAAAGGAACATATTTCCCTCAAGAGATGGTGGAGACCAAAAACGGAGCTAAAAGAGAGAATATTGGACTTGCATTGTTCAGGTGTAGGAACTGTTGTATAATCATTATTTGTCCTGTCGTTTGTTGTTACCACAGCAACAGCATTGCCGAGGGCGACAGCGATGACGACGACGACGACGGCGACCTCATTCTTGAGAACGACTGCCTGACGCCCTACGACTCCCACCTGGTAACCAACAGCAACAACACTAACCTCAACAGAGACTCGGCCGGCGGCAGGCCGCACAGCCCGGCCGCGGCTCGGCCCCTCCCACAGAGCGTCTCGTTGCCCAATAGCGTCGGAGCGTCCCTGAGTGACAGCTCGACGGCGCTGTCCAATCACAACGGAAACCCCGCCCACACGTCTAGCAGCAGTCAAGAGAGCATGAGAGAAGACGGCAACATAATCACACTGTAGCCGTGGCGACATTGACAGCGACCCTGTGACAGTTGGGACTCTGAGATGTTACACCCGCGCGGTGCGGTTACCAGGACAACGACAGATGGCTGTGCTCCTGCAACGCAGAGATACGGGACAGAAGGTTCTGCTAGCTTCTTAGCGCTAGCTAGCCTTGGCGGATCATGTGTTTTCACAATCTCCCGGCATAACCACACTTTTTATAGGTCTGCCTCATGCGGCTGAGGTAATGTACAAAGCTGATTTATCAGCTTCAAAACAATAATTTATAGTCAACGGAAGGAAATGATTAAATGCCATAATGTATTAGCCAATCCGTGGAGACCTTTAGAGAGCAGAGAGCTCCTGTCAAAGCCATAAGTCAGTTTGATGTCAACACGTTGGAGAAAAATCACCTCTTCTCCAGCAGCACCAATCAGAAACATCACTATTAGCTGGAGGACTGACGACTTGTTCACCACAACAAGACGGTGACAGAACGGTACAGAGTTAAATGGGCAGGGCTCTATTTTCTTGGCAGCACAACGACCAGTGCAAACAGCGCTCCAACGGTTTGGTAGTTTCCGGACTTTGCCCACGTCTGTTTGCCATTATGGGGATTTTAATGGACACAAGCAAAGTTAATACTTGCAGGATTTATAATTTTTTTTAAATATGTGCATTGCAAAATGAAATCTGTCTGCATTTATCTAGAAAGGGATGTGAGTGGTTCTTCACGGCTGCTTTATACTGTATGAAAAGGTGCCGACACCTGAAGGCATCAGGACACACACACATGGATTATTCAGATTTGAATAGGGCCAATCAGAAGGCAGCTGTTTCAGAGCTGCGAGAGCAATGATGTGATTGGCTGAGAGTGTATTTATTTATCTCCCACACCTTCTAATCTATATTCCACTTCAGCCGACCCGTTTGCACCAAAATAGCAGGTCACAAAGCTTTGCACTGGTTGTCGCACTTGCAACGTTAAAGTATTGCCCTAAATGTTTTAGAAATAATAACATACCAAAATATATTCAAGACAGAGTAAAATGACCCAAAAGGGATTTCGGCAATACTTTTTTCAAATTTCTTGTTTTTAAATTTAGATTTTTTTTTTTCTTTTCTCTAAATCAGCTGTCGAATAATAATCATGATCTCATTGGTTTGATTTTTAAATGTGTATAAATAAAGAGAAACTATGGGTTAAAACGGTCACTTCTATGGTATTGTCAGGCTAAGATATAGCTGTTACCTTCTGGCATTGCAAATATAGAAACACTGTGAATCACATATATCATAATTTCACCAACATTTATTTTGAAAATAGGATTGGGAGGAAATGGAAAATGGGTGATGTGCGATTATATTTCATGATTTTCACACTAAATTTGAGAATTAAAGGGCAGCAAACTCACTCATGCGTTATGCACACAAACACACTAATAAGCATCATGGAGCAGGGGTCAAAATAAGGAAACTCCTGTCACTGCTATCTGGACCATATAAACCAGTGTTTGTGTGTGTGTGTGTGTGTGAGGCCGGGTCGTTCTGGGCGTATCGCCTTACGAGGTGTTGGCGGTCTTGCTCTGCACTGCACTCTTTCTTTACTTTCCTCCTCCGTCTCGCGTTCTCCTTCCAATTACACCAAAACATTTTTCGGTCAAACCGAATCAATGTCACGTTTTTTTTTTACAAGATAATATCGGCTTTATGAAGCGCAACAGAAGATGGACAGATAATTATGAATCCAAGTAGTTTATTATTTGTCAGAAATAAAAATCACAACACCCTAAAAGAAATATGATGGCGCTCTATGGTGTGCTTGTGTTTCGCGTCGTCTGCCAGTTGGACTAATCCTGCTCTGAACAGTCCTTGTGCCCTGGGGGAGGAAACCCTGTTTCCACTCAACATTCTGGAGTCTCGCGTTAGAAAACGGAAACATTTAAAGCGTCCTCAATTGTGTGAATGATGTTTCTTTACCCTCACTTGAGCTGGTTTTACCTTTTTGGAAAAGGTAAATGGGTTACGGAAACACTTTTGCCAAATAAATTCTGACGTTGCAAACATTTCACTCAATAAATTCAATTTTTCTCTCGTAGCTGGTTAGACGGCCCTGCTGATTTGTTTTGATTGCCGTTCCCAACCTTTACTTTCTTTTCTGTTAACTGGCGGATTACAGACATACGTAACCAACATTTGCACAACAATTAAATGGAAACTTGGCTACTGAACCCATTATAGGCTGAAAGAATCAAGACTTTTAACTGGTTGAAAGCAACGATTATGGTAAGTTGTCCTTTTAAAGTGGCATTTCAACTTTTAAGTAAATACTAACGAACCAGTTATTTGTCACTGATGGCTTTTTCCTCTAGTTTGAGACACACTACATAGCTTTGTAGGACGACATCTAAGAAACAGACTGAGGAAAATTACAGCAAACATGAGAACAAGCATTGAAGAGATGACCATACAGTTCTTCAACCGTCTGTTAGCTTGTGTGGAAGTGAAGCAGTGCGTAAGAGAGGTCTTTTGTGACGGAAAGGTCAGTGACTTACAAAAAGAAATCCCCCCCCCCCCACAGATAAAGTGATCAACAATTTCGGAGCCCATGGGTATGATGACGATTTCACCCTCTGGTGGTATCAGGGATATCGGGGCCAAGACTTGCTTGTTTACAGAGCGATTAACAACTTCAGACGCAAAACTGGAGTTTGAGTTAAAAGACGGCGTCAGCGACAAGATTGTTTCATGTTCCAATGCTACAAACGGAAAGCAGAACGCTTCTGATCCCAAAATCTTGTCCCGTTACCTCCAGATTCTGCATTCGTATGCGTGTTTATAGAGATTAAGTGATCCACAACCTTTTCAAAGTATCATCAAAGCTTGCCCTGCTCTCCAACCCCTCACAGATAAACACGGTCTAGTGAACACGTTCAGCCCCTGTTGGACCCGTTCATATAGAGTTGAATTCCTGGTCGTCACGCCGTGTGTTTCACAGCTCAACCATAAATTGACATTGAACCTACATTGAAAGGTTACATTAAAGGTTTGGTTGGCCAGTGCATTTTCCTGTTGCAGACAAATACCTAAACCCTAGTATTACTCTGTGTGTACGGCAAAGCTTGATGTAAACTGTCTCTTGCTGCAGTTCAAATTACAAATAGAAAATTCCTAAAGAAATTTTGACATTGTGGCTTCTGCTGCCCGAAGAAATCGCAATATATACACACGCCAATGTTACCGGTAGTGTCATTCAGGATCAATTGAGATAGCGCTATTCTCTTTTCTGCATTTTAGATTAATACTCTTGGATTGAATCTTGTATTTGTGGGGCTTTTATTTTGAAAGGGTGGGACTGGGTGGGTGAGAGAGGGGGAGAGGAGACAGAATCATAATGTTTGACACTAAAATGAGAGGCTTCATCACAAGCATTCCAGTTAGAATTCATTCTGTGGGGCTTTTAACTTGAAATGGGGGGAGGGGGGTGGTGCGAGGGGAAAAGTCCTCTAAAAATATCTAAGACCTGAATGACTGTATGAGAGAGAGACACACAGAGAGATAGAGGGAGAGGAGTGTATGTGTGTGTGTGTCTCAGTGCCTCTGTGTTTATCAGCATCACTAATGAGCTCATATAAACACCTGTGTGCTTGGGTGCATGTTGATGATTGGAGCACCTGTGTGTTAGAGGCTAATTAAGAGAGAGAGTGAACAGTGATTTTCAACAAAACTACCTGTCAAACATATGCCCTTCATACCAAAACCATGAGACTAATCAATAAAATATGGATACCGTGAGAGAGATAAGACTCTGGCAAACGCGGAGATGTGTTTTTTATGTTTGTGGTGTTAAAATGTGAGCTCCAGCGCAATATGCAAAACTGGTACCGTCTGCTTTCTTTGAGAAATGAGTGGTCAGATTTAACATGGAGTCTAATGGAGCAGTTGGTTGGAGTTGATGTCGCTCTGTGGCTCTTTGAGCCAAATGTGTAAATCTGTTGAATTCCACAGACATCTGTGTGCGACAGCACAACATTTCCAAGCTTTTTGGCCAAAAATGGTGTATAAAGAGTAAAAATTGTGGGAGCTAGAGCAATTTGTTTGGAAAAATCACAGAATATTTTCCTGCTCCGCTCCACTCTGATGGTTATGCTCTCACTCTAGCTCTTTACGAGCCGTGCAATACACACCCATTATAAAATCTGAAACGGACCCAAAATTTTCCTGAAACTTAATCTGTGACTTCATGAAAACTGTGCTAGCTATCAAAATGTCCCTTTGGCTCAATAAAGTGCAGCGTTTTGTCTACGTTTTAAACTTTGAATCATGTTTCTACGTTAATGTACGGCTAGTCAATATGGGCCCAAAGTTAAGTGTTTTTTTAGCTCTCTTCACGCCGAAACCCAATTCAAGTGAATGGAGAAATTTTGCTCCGTTTTTGGGGATTTTCGTGAATTTTCGGGAAAACCGCGAAATCTCTCCGGAAAATAGATTGCACACTATTCCCGAGCAGGCCGCACATTTTGATGTATTTTTCGCGCCGCTGTTGGCAACGCTGTGTGAGGAGAGGCGCGCCAAACTTTTGGATAAACCTGATTATTATTATTATTATTATTATTATTATTATTATTATTATGGGTAAGCCCGATGGATAATATACAGTGTGCTTTGGCACAGGCAGTTTTACTGCCTTGTGCCACAAAGCCACACTGAATTACAACGTGGACTGAGCTCCCGTTAACGGCGGAGCTGCCATGGAGGCCGGAGTAGATGTAGCATCTCCAGCCGAACCCTGAGGTCCTCCACACTAGCGCTGCATTCCCACGGAACCAGGGCGCTGAGGCGAGGCCCACAACGGGAACCGCAGACGCAGACAAGGAAAACGTTTAAAAAGTTTGCAACAGAATATTAAGAGAAAGCTCTTTTTTTAACAACACGACATCACCATAGCAACACGTATCATCGTGCATGTTTTCGTTGTGCCGCTCCGCAATTCCATCAGCTTATTTGATCCTTTTTTCTTGTGCCATCCAGAAGGTGTCGCTCACTGTTTGCCTGATTACGTGTGAATGCAGCATGAAGCCAGTTCACTCCACTTTGATCAGTGGGTCAAATGTTAAATGCATTTTAATGTTAAAATGCTACGAGCAAACGGCTGGAGGACTTTAGAAGAAAGCGTGATTTAACACACACACAAAACACAAAACCTTTTTTATTTTGTTTATTTAACTGTAATTTACTGTAAAATAGAAATGTAAATGTGAGATTATGAAACGAGGGAGATCTTCAGAACCTGGGAAATGTTTTTAATGTAAGAGAACATTTTATAATATCTGTAAAATATGGAGAGTATTTTTCTTATTCTTGTACTTTTAAATTGTATATGAGAGGAGACGGTGGAGATGAGGTGTGTGTGTGTGTGTGTGTGTGTGTGTGTGTGTGTGTGTGTGTGCGTGTGTGCGCGCGTGTGCGTGCTTGTGCGTGCGGTAGGTCGTTGCTGAACGTGTTGACGTGCACACAGTGTTCTCTCTTTGAGTTTAGCATGTGTGGTTCCACTAGATTAATATAAGATGAAGGATGTCTTTTTTCGGTATTTCTGAGTTTATTAAAGTCGATTTGTACTGAATGCATGCCTAAATGTTCCATGTTAATGATGAAAACCCTGGAATATTACGTAAAATGAAGTACTATTGGTGTGCATGTCTGCACAGTCATTCCGAGGTTCACTTGTGCGTATCATGGCTTCTAAATTCATTATATGCATCATTTATCCTTGTGTACCAATGAGGGTTGAAATGATGGAGCTGAGCTTTTGAAGGCAAATATAATAATAAATGTATTACCAACTGGGCAAACTGTACCAGACCAACAGCAATTGGACTAAAGGTAGATTTGTTTAGTAGAGTGCACCACATAAACTGAACTGACCAGGGGCCTTCTTTACCTGTAATATGTAGCTGATGTTGCGCTGGCATGGGGTGTATTCTTTATTTAAGCTGTTTAGTAAAATGATCTCAAGCTAACTTGGGGTGGGAGGTGGAGGGTGGCCACGAGTATACCCCAGCATTAGTGAAGCAGTTACCCAGAGTCTGGTAAAAAGATCAGAAGCATCAGATCCAGGACCGCTTTATCTTAGCTTAGCACAAATAATGGGAGCATAGCTAGCTAGCCGAGCTCCTCCTCTAGTTTGCTGAATAAAAGTAAGATTGTAAAAAACTAAAAACGTTTTTGTTGAGGAGCCATCAGCGTGGAGCTATTTCTTAACCAATCATAGGTGTGTGTTGCCAGTTGCACGATAATTGTGATATTTGTACGAGAAGAACGTAAAATGTACCATCATCATGACATCATTTCAGCTTGATTTCTGTAATAGCAGATGGTGTGGTTCTGATTGGGAAGCAGTTAGCTATGTCATTAATGTGCTGGGGACTGACACCGGATCTGCTATAAATGGCTCAATCGCATCTCTGCTGCCGCTGTCACCCCTCGCAACCGTTCATGAATCTCTTTGTGACTGCGTTTCACAATTTCCATTTGGTTTGAATGTCACTTTTGTTTTGGGTTTTAAGGTACAGAAACACTTTATCACACACCTGGATGTGTGTCCTGGAGGTTCTTTGAGCCCTGCAGTCTGGATTTAAATGTTCAGTAGTTTGCCCAGAAACACCTGGTGGCAGGGGTCGCCTGGTTAAACACATTTTCACTCCCAACTCTTCTGAGCTTCAAACTATGACGCTCTATGTAACCCTCCATCGTCACATTTAGACTTGTCACGGACGGTGTGTCAGTTTCCGCTCGTTACATGCAAAGTGTCTTTTCAACATAACGTTCTGTGTTCACAGGCAATGAACAGTTACCACTTGTTACGTGCCTATTGTGTCTTCAAAATAAACTTCCAACGTAGGTTTACTTACACAACAAAACTCCTTAGGTTTAGGAAAAGATTGTGGTTTTGGTTAAAATAAGTGCGTTAAGTACGTAAGCTCTGTAACAAAACGAAGGCAAAATAAGTCGTTGACTTTGTGTCACACGGGAAACAAACAGCGGTCCCCTGGGTGAAAGTCGTGTGTTTGTTTGGCCCGTCAAACCTCCCCTCCTGCCCGTCTTACACTTACTTTATACTACATCAGTTGCTCTGACAGTCTAATACTGACGCAAGTGGGTTTACATTGGAGTTAGTTGAAAGCCTGGTGCGTCTCGTAAAGACACTAAAGGTTGCCACAGTGTGTCGGTGCTGAGGAGCACTGATCAAGCGTCGCTATTTCACGAGTTGGGAGTGAGAACGGGTTGTTTAAACACTTACAAAATGTACGGCTTGGTAAATAGCTTCCAAGCTACTATTTACATTCTTTAGGCCCTAAATCAGACAGTTGTGGAGTTTTTTTTAGATGGTTTATTATTTACATTTTTGACAGAGCTAGGCTAGTGGTTTCTCCCCACTTCCAGCCTTCGTGCTAAGCTAGGCTAAACATGTCCTGGACCTATCTCAGTACTGGACGAGCATCTGACTCCGAATAAGAGCGTAAGCAAGTATCAAAACATCAGACTGTTCCTTTAAATGGTGACATTTATGTTTTAAACTCTACATGGTCCCTTTTAAATAAAATAAAGAAAGAAATGAAGCTCATGTTAACAATGTGCAACCCTGTCTCCTAAAACAATACGTGCATATGACTAAACTGCTTCCTCAATTACATTTTGAGGGAAACGTATTTTCTCCCAGGTTACAGTTTTAAATAAATAGTTAAAGTTTTAAATTGAAACAAACGCAACAAAAGGACTTGGTTATGTTTTGTAAAACATCACGGTTTTGCTTCAAATAAGTTTGTTGTTTAAGTTACGGATATAAATTCAAATAGGTCAACATGGACATTTTTGGTCTGAACAGTGGTCCTCTGGGTGAAGGTCCTCTGTTGACCCACACCTCCACTCTGACCTCCTTCCTATTCAGACTTGCGTGGACTATAATTCAAAACTTTTTTGTGGTGTGTCAAAAACAAACGTGATCCGGAAAAACATCCGCTTCCCTCGGAACGTATTTGACAAAGCAGCTTTGTTGTATGAGAGCGTCATCGTGAGGAGACCAGGCTGACCTACGGGGCCGAGTGTGATCGATGCAAAGTGTCTCTTGTGGGAGAAAGATCCAACATGACATCTAAACTACACCGATGATGTCTGTGCTTGTGATGGTCCATGTTGCCAAACCCTTCAATGTCACATCACCGCTTAACTGTGTCTG